GCGGAGAGAGTGGGAGACAGAGAATCCCTAGCTGTCAGCACAGAGCTGGACAAAGGGCTCACGCCCACGAACTGTGAGATCATGACCTGAGCCGAAATCAAGAGTTGGATGCTCAACCCCCTGAGCCACCCAGGCACCCTTCTCCTTGGTACTTTTTACTGACTTATTTACCTTTGTTTCTTGTCCTTTACCCAAGTAAAAATGTAAGCTCCGTGAGGGCAGGGGTTTTTGTGCATTTTGTTCTTTCCCAGAACAACACCCCGCACACAGCAGGTGCTCAGCGAACATTTGTTGACTGAACGAATGACTGAAGGAGCGGATGGCCCCATCTGAGATCAGAGCCGCACCCCCAAACCCTGCCTTCCTCCTCCACCTGGGGCGGGGGGGGGGCAGGCCAGCCCCAGGGCCTCAGGGCAGGTTTCAGAGCAACAGCATTCTCCTTCATCAAGTGGGGGGCAAGAAGAGGAAGCAGTCCAGGAAAGAACTATGTAACTGACAGACAGACGTCTTTACCCTGTTTGAAGTTTCCCTCTTCCCTGTTGCTCAGAAACTTCCTAGGATTAGGACCCCTAGGAGAGACAGCAGAGCGTGTACTCTCCTAGGGTCGTGTTTTTTTTTTTTTTTTTTTTTATTTTTTTTTTCAACGTTTATTTATTTTTGGGACAGAGAGAGACAGAACATGAACGGGGGAGGGGCAGAGAGGGAGGGAGACACAGAATCGGAAACAGGCTCCAGGCTCCGAGCCATCAGCCCAGAGCCCGACGCGGGGCTCGAACTCACGGACCGCGAGATCGTGACCTGGCTGAAGTCGGACGCTCAACCGACTGCGCCACCCAGGCGCCCCTACTAGGGTCGTTTTTGAAGGATGACCACATTTAAGGAAAAAGGACAAGGTGGATCCAAGACCTGGCACAAACCTGGGACGGGGAGTGTACACCCTTCGGTCTGAGGCATGGCCAGCTCTGGGCTCGAATTCCAGAATTCCCAGAAGGCCAGAATGGCCAGGGTGAGGTCGCGATCCCTTGTGTTTCCACACTGAGGCCTGGAGGCGAGAGAGCTGGGTGGGTCTCCAGACAGGCGAGGAAGTGGAGGGACTGGTGAGGAACAGCTGAGCTGAGGGCTGGAAGCAGACATGCTGGGAGAGAGCACCGGATGGCCGAGGTGGGTCTTGTGCAGGACACAGTCACGACCACGAGCCAGGCAAGGGGCTGGGGTGTGGAGTCAAGGGGACCAGTGACTCAGAAGGGCGAGCTGGAAGGGAACAGGGCCGGGCCACAGAGGGGCTGCTGGTCCCGAGGCTGCAGCTGAGGGGCACATGCAGGGCCAGTCAGGACAAAGCAGGACCCTGAGGTCCTTCCAGAATCCGAGCAGAGTTCAGAAGGAACAATGAAGGGGGCAAATTCTACTGAAGAGGCAATATCGTGATCGTTTAGTCCCAGCTACTCCCAGCATGGAGGCCAGACCCTCGGGTCCGACAGACATGGCAGTCTGCCTCGAAGAACATTCTCCTGGGCCCCAGAGTGGCCTGCAGCAACTTCCCAGGGGCCTGTGCACCCCTTATCTGCCCTCTCGTCTGCTTCTTTGCAGGAAAGCGTGGACCTGGGAGAGATCATGTTCTCGCTGTGCTACCTGCCCACAGCAGGCAGGCTCACCCTCACAGTGATCAAATGTCGGAACCTCAAGGCGATGGACATTACAGGCTATTCAGGTACCTCTCCTACCCAAGTAGTCGGCCATGTGGCCTTCCAGCCACCCAGACATTAGGACTTGGAAAGGTGTTTAGAGAGAAGGGAGAACTATCAGTGTTCTTTTTTTTAAATGTTTATTTTTGAGAGAGAGACAGAGACAGAGAGCACGAGCGGGAAGGGGCAGAGAGAGAGGGAGACACAGAATCCGAAGCAGGCTCCAGGCTCTGAGCTGTCAGCACAGAGCCCGACATGAACCCTGAGACTGTGACCTGAGCTAAAGTCAGATGCTCAACCTACTGAGCCCCGCAGGTGCCCGGAACCGTCAGTGTTCTTAGAAGAGAAGCCCCAACTCTGGACTTGAATTCCAGTTCTGCCACTCCCTTGCTGTGTAATGCTTTGATTTTCTAATCTGAAAAAAGAACTTACACAGTTTGCTTTAAGGATAAACGTGTTGATTCATGTTAAGTCCTTACAGTTGTGCCAGACACGCAATAAGCACTCAGTAGATATTAGCTACTCCCATCGCTCTTTCCCTCAGAGGAGGCGGAGAATAAGGAATAAACACAGTAGGAGAAAAAATAAATAAATAAGGAAAATTTTTCTAGTTATAGGAGGCCCCAGGACTTTGAAGGGTTATGTCAAGTTTGAGTGTGTAAATGTTTGGAGGTCCGCACAGCCCTGTGGCAGCCCCGAAGACCTAGTCAAAGGAGCGAGGCCACTGAAAAGCAAAGTGCATTTGTATTTGAGTTTTTCCTGCAGGGCTCCTGGCCCCAGCCTCAGTGCCAGGAGAACTGCTAAGTAGAGCAGGAAGCATGAGTCCTCTTCCAGAAACCGAGGAAATGCTTGCTTGGGGCAGCTATAGAGACAGGTCCTTTCCCATGACAACGTTGTTGTCAGAGAAGGTATTTGAGTTTTGATAAAGCAGAGGAGTAGCGTGGGTCCCAGGAGCCTCCTTCCCCCATCTGCTCAAATTAGCCCGAGACGCGAAATGGGGTGAAGTGTCCCAAAGAGCAGACTTACAGAACAGTCTGAGCTGCGCTCAGAGTTACAAATGGAGGAAAAGGCTTGTTTTCCAAGACCCATCACCCAAGAGGCGCTTGTGATGAATCTGGTTTCCAGTGGAAAACCACTCCAGAGGTGCCTCCGAACCTGGGTGGGAGTATACGGGAGATTTTCGCTTTTATCCATTAATTATTTGTTTCCTGGAAAACTCCTTAGTATTGTCACAGGGGCCATAAAGAGGGGACGGTCCAGCCGCAAACATCTGTGCCCAGGTGCAACCTGGTGTAGGTAGAAGAAGATGAGGTATTAGACCCCGAAAAATGAGGCTTTGAGGGAAGACGGTTGGAAAACACTGAAGTAATGTGTACTTCTTGCCGCTCTGAATCCTTCGGAGCCTCTGCTCCCAGCCTCCACTGTCTCTGGGCGGCACTCATGTCTTCCAGACCAAAAGCTCCCCAAGATGGCACCCACCCTAATGCCTCTCCTTCCACTGAAGCTACCACTGCACTTCGCAGGGCGGGGGGCAGGCGGGGGGGGAGTTGTGGTGAGAAGCTTAAAGAGCCTCTCCCGACATGTGAAAAGCTCTTAGGTCCCAGCAAGCCAGCTTCCTCCAAAAATACAGCCGATGTAGATTTCATTTTAATATCAAAATAAGTGCATGCCAGGGACAGGAATTCACCGAGGACTCTCCAGCCTGCTGAGGGAAATAGGATTTTGCTGCCTAAGTCCCCACACTATCTTCTCCGGTGTAATTAAATTGATGTGCTAGAGAGAGAGCTTATGCTGAAGCCACTGAGGTAATCATAACGGCCGTTCCACATCAGAAGGTTGTGGGGGAGAGATTTTTTTCTCACACCAAATCCTAATCCCCCTCTCGCAACTGACCCCCTTTTCCACCTGGGCTTGGAATCTGGCATTAAATCTCAACTTGACACGGAACATTCAGGGGTCCTCTTTTTGTCAGAGATTTCTGTCTATTTGGTTCACAGATGTAAGCAAATGTCTGGAACGGTGCATGGCAACACAATAGGCATTGCATAAATATGTTTTGAATGAGTGACTGAATGAATATGTAGCATGAGGAGCCTTGTCAGCGGGTGATACCGTGGGGGCATACATGGCAGGGGCCTCTCAGACTAGATCTCCTGTTTTTGAGGATGAGTTTGAGGTTGCCGTCAGCTCAGACTGCTTTGATATTGGACTAAACCAGGGGGCGAATAGAGCTTATTGCCTGTTCTTGATTTCTATGCCATCGACCCCTGAACCCATGGGTCTTCCTATTCTCCTTGATTTTAACCAGTCATGAACCAATTCTCTAAGCCCATACACTGCAATGATGACAATGAAAATAACACAGAATAATAATAAGGGTCCGGATGCCACAAAACCCACCCATCTCCACCACATCCGGTCTGTACTGATTTGAGTCTAGTGGTTTAAAATGTAAACTTTGGAGACAGACAGACCTAGGTTCAAACCTGAGGCAAGTTCCTTAATCTCTCTCGCCTCAATTCCCCTACCTATAAAAGGGGGTGAAGATGATAAATATTTTATGGGGGTGGGGGGAAGTTTAAAACACATGATGTACATAAATCTCAGCACAGTGTCTGGTAAATGCTGGACTATGATGGCTCTCACGACAACGAGGCTGAAATTCACTGCCAGCCTTCATGCTCTCTCCCTCAGCTGCACAGCACATCAGAGGCTGTTAGAGAGGAAACAACTTCCAAGGTCTTGTGGAGCCAGCACTCCACTAGAAGCCACAAATTTTTGCCCCAGAGAATCCAAAGGAACAGTCATCTCTCCGCTTAGCCTCTTGGACGGTCATAAGATTGATGATTTCTTCAAGGGAAATACACCCACTGAAATTTGTAAATGGACATACCTCGGAGGGGTAAACAGAGTTGGGGAAAGAAGCTGAGAATCTCCCAGTCGGTAATAAGCATTTGCCTAGTGGCCATTGGGACAGGTGGCTCTGCCATATTTTTCCAAGCCTGGTGACATGGGAATCTGTTGTCTAAGAGGTACATGGAAATGGGCGTGGCAGGCAACAAGCCAGCACTTGAACAGCCTCAAGCCTGAAGACACTTTCCAGGGCAGCGTATACCTTATGGAGTCTAGAAGTTGCCACGTTAACGACAGGTCTTGGGGCAAGCTTTCCTACCTGACCGCCTGGACCTGAACACTGTCCTGGGCACATCCCTAGACAACAGAGCCTATAGAAACCAGAAAGCTGTCTCACAGAGGTTCTAGGAACTCTGCCTTCCTTTTTACTGAAAACATCCCCAAGAGAGGGCCCTTCCAAACGGGTCACTGGAGACAGTGGGTTGATTAAACACCTACTGTTTAATCATGGTCCCCCCAGAGCCCCCATAAACCTAAGTGCCCCCAAGGTTAAGGCATAGCTGCCGCTGTCACATTGGTTAGTCGGCTCTCTCTAACTTCTGCATGGTGAGGTGCCCCAGCTGCCCCCTGAGCGATGCCCGGGGAGCCTGAGGGCCTGGTGGGTGCTCAGGTGCCCAGGAGATAGAACTGCATGCCTGTGCATCAAGGCACCAGGCAGTGGCTGGTTGGCCCACAGCTGCTGACAGATTCACATGAACCCTGGCTTCTGGGCAAGAAGGTGTCTCGGCACATCAGCATCTCAAAAGCTGTTATTACCTGTGAGTTGCCCTCCCGTTTCTTGAGCTGTGCGGCATAAATAACAATTATGATGGTGTCTAAGACACCTGTGCTATGAGATACAATAGGTGTCACTTCACTTGGATGAGTGGAAAATTTCAGGGTAGAAGGATGACCACAAAATACCTATTCAGAAAACGAAAGAAGAGACAGGGATGGGAGACACATGGAGGTTCAGTAAAAAGACATCTCCTCTGGGGATGGAGAGAATCCAAGATCCCCCTGAGAAATGAAATGTCAACTGGTTGCCCCGAATCTCAGGAAGCCGCCTTACTCACGGCCCCCGCCACAGCCCCATCCTTCTCCTCTGCCCAGAAGTGGGCAGGAAGGGGCTTCCGGGGAAGCAGACAGCAGGGCCTTTCTTGATGCCAGCTGGAAATGAGCTTGTTGGGACAATGAGACCCATAATCCTGTTGTCAGGTGGGGAGGACAGGACCAGCGTTGCGATTGTCGCTGTTCATTTACTCTGACACGCTGCTACTCCTTGGGTGTCATCGACATCTATTTTTACTCCCTTATCCTTTGGCTAATAATGCTGACAAACCCCCAGAGAAAAGGACTCCAAGTCGGGGAAAGGAACCGAGTGCCTTGTTCAGCTTCACCACCCATTGGAGCCAGCCGGCCATCACGGAGCTGAGATTTAGGGCTGTGATCTGCATACCCATGGGCAGGTGTCCTGTCTGATTTGAGGCCAGCTTCACCATTAGTGAAAGTCCATTAGGCACTCTCCCAATAATCCTGAGGTCGCTAAAGACTCTGTGTTTATTAAGCACGAAGTGTCCTCAGAGACAGGTGTGCTACATAAATACAAGGTGGTTTAATTATCTTAACAACCCACTGATACCATCTATGAGCAACAGTAGGTCTGTGGCTTCCGTCCCTCTGCTGCAAATGATGTTCGAGGACATCTGGTTAACATGCTCCCTAACATGCCCCTTTCCCTTCCCATCACCCCTCCACTGGCACAGATCCATATGTCAAAGTGTCCCTGCTTTGTGATGGGAGGAGACTGAAGAAGAAGAAAACGACCATAAAGAAGAACACTCTCAACCCTGTCTACAATGAAGCCATCATCTTTGACATCCCCCCAGAGAACATGGATCAAGTCAACCTGCTCATCTCGGTTATGGATTACGATCGGTAGGTGCTGGTCCCAGAGGGCCACTATTCGCTGCCCCTCACGCCAACACCAATGCAGCACAGGGTGTCCTGACCTTGGACCCTGTGGTTCAGGGCTCGGGATCCCATTGGCCTCAAATATGGCTCCACCCAAGAAGGGTGCAGAAGTTTGAGGAAGAGTGTGGATTCCCCTGAGCAGAAGCTCAAGTTTTGCTTCCCAGCAGGGCCCATTTCCATCAAGGGCCAATCTACCCGTTAGTTTCCCTGAATTTGCCCCTGACTACTCCTGTTGCTCCCCCTGCCACCAAGTCCTGTCATCTGTCCTCTAAAATGCCTCCCTCCTCTCCATTTCTGGTGCTGCTACCACTCCCACTCAGGGATGGCTGTGCAGCGTCCCAGCTGCCCCCTGCCTCCATCACGCCCTGGCTCAATCCTGCCAACACACTAGAAGCATGCCTTCCTAAAAGACTACTTTCTTTGGCACCTACCCTCCTCAAGAACCATCAATGGCTCCTGTTATACAGGCTCTTCCCCTAGCTTCTCAAGGCCTTCCAGAATCTGGACCCAACATATTTATCCAACTTAATTTCCCCTTTCTTGGATATATTTCTTCTCTTCCACTTATCCAAATCCTCTCTTCCGTCAGGGTCGGCTCAAAAATATTTTCCAACCACCCCAGCCACCATGACACCTTCTCTCCAGGTGTCACTCTAGCTGAAGGAAGAACAAAAAAAAACATGCAGTAAACCCTCCATCCAGGATTTTTAGCACAAGTTCTCAGGCATAGTAGGTGCTCGCTGAACATAGTTGAGTGGTGATTGATGTTCTTGCTGAGTGAATCAATCACATTCTAGCCTTTGGGGGTATGGAGAAAGAGTACTCAGAGTGGGGTGATTTATTTCCAAATGCTGAGATCTCAAGCAAGGCTGTGATGTCCTAGCAGAGTCCAATAAGGGACGAGACTTAAACTCTCCCATTCCCTAAAGTCCGGCCATCTGCCCACCATTTCCTGTGATTCCAAAGCAGTTTGTCACCTTTTTCTCATCTGTCTGATTCAGTGTCCACCCAAGGAGGGTGGGCAAAGTTTCACTGCCGCCGGCACCCCGAGGCCCTGCCAAGCATCTGTTTTCAGAGCTCGGCATTCTGAGTTAGATCTGCTGGGCAGAATCCCAGCCCCCAGGACCCCCCTTTCTGACAGCGTGTCTGGTCACCAGCACCAGGCCCTTTGTTTCTCCCTCAGAGTGGGCCACAATGAGATCATAGGAGTGTGTCGTGTGGGGATCAATGCCGAAGGCCTGGGCAGGGACCACTGGAACGAGATGCTGGCGTACCCACGGAAGCCCATTGCACACTGGCACTGCTTGGTGGAGGTAAAGAAATCCTTCAAAGAGGTGGGTGAGGTCGCGCTTGGCCCTTGGCAAGTTTGCCGCATGGCAGCGTGAGCTGGAGAATGGCAGTCGGCGGCTGTACGACCTCGCCTTCGTGGGTCCTTTCCGGGGCGTGCGGGGGCTACGTGCTTCTCACCCAGTGCGGAACAGGCAGGAAGGAAATGGAGGAGGACAGTGGGAAGCTGCCTGACAAAAAGCCTCTGATGTCGAGCATATTGAAAGCGACACTGAGTTCTAAACGGCAAATTAGAACTTGGAGGAAGCCTTCCCAGCAGCTCCACTGTGCCAGGCCCAGGATGCTTTCACGAAGCCCCCGGGGCCGAGTCAGTCCTTTGGGAGAAAGCCCCAAGAGGCTGAGATCAGAACGTGGCTGTGGAAGCACTAGGTTCCCTGAGGCTCTAGCCAGGTGGTCCCAAGGCAGTCTTCATTGTCTGGATGCAGATGGCCAGAGATCAGATCCTGCCACCACGAATGCCGGTTCTCCCGTTGTTGGACGGAGTGTGGCTTCAAGGCGGCACACCGTGTGACCGCATCCTAACAGAGATATGATGGATGGAGCACTGCCCAGGAGTCCTGAGCCCTGGGCTCCAATCTCGGCCCCTTTGGCCTTGCTATATAATAATCTGGAGCCAATCATTTCTCTCAACTGCAAAGAAAATGTCCCTTCCAGTGACATTGACAGTTGGCTTCCCTTCCGCCAAACTCTGCCAATGTAAGATCCTGCTATGTATCACCCTGGTGGCTCCCAGGCCTGCTTTTTCTCAAATGGGTTGAGATGCGGGGGTCGCCAGGCGAGCTTTAAGCCTCATTTTGAGTATCTCATACCCATTTCATATCCTAAACAGCAGGTGATTGCTTGTTCATCCTAGCCTTCAAGCCTAGGAAGTCTAAAGCATAAAGTTGGAAAATCTAATGAAAAAAATAAAGCTTTAACCCTTACACCACGTGGCCCCTCAGCTGAAAAGCAGTCACCTTAAAAACAGTACAGTTGACCTTTGAACAACACGGTTTGAACTGTGTGGGTCCACTTAGGTGTGGACTTTTTTTATATATACAAATACAGTACAGTACTGTAAATGTATTTTCTCTCCCTGATGACTTTATTTAAAAAAAAATTTTTTTTTAATGTTTATTTATCTTCAAGAGAGATGGAGAGACAGAGAGCAAGCAGGGGAGGGGCCGAGAGAGAGGGAGACACAGAATCTGAAGCAGGCTCCAGGCTCTGAGCTGTCAGCACAGAGCCCGACGCGGGGCTCGAACTCATGAACTTCAGGATCATGACCTGAGCCGAAGTCAGATGCTCAACCGACTGAGCCATCCCGGCACTCCACCCAGATGATTTTCCTAATAACATTTTTCTCTCTAGCTTGCTTTATTGTAAGAATGCAGTAAAGAATTCCCATAACATACAAAATATGTGTTAATTGACTGTTTATGTTATCGGTAAGGCTGCTTCCAGTCAACAGAACGTGAGTAGTTAAGATTTGGGGGAGGAAAGAGCGATACTCAGATTCTTGACTGTGTGGAGGGTCAGTGCCCCTAATCCTGATGTTGTTCAAAGGTCAACTGTAATCCCTTCTTTAGGCTCTGTGACACAGGAAAGGTGTGGGAGCCAAACCCAGAGGACCTTCCAGCTCCCTTTTCTTTTCGGGGTGGACAGGTCTGTTTCCACCTATTTCTAGTGTTTCTATGGTTTCCACCTCAGAGCAGTGTGAGGTGTCTTTTTTTTTTTTAATTTTTTTAAATGTTTCATTTATTTTGAGAGACAGACAGAGAGACACAGAGTGCAGTGGGGGAAGGGCAGAGAGAGAGGGAGACATAGAATCCGAAGCAGGCTCCAGGCTCCAAGCTGACAGCACAGAGCCTGACTCAGGGCTCGAACTCACAAACCGTGAGATCATGACCTGAGCCAAAGTGGATGCTTAACCGACTGAGCCACCCAGGCGCCCCTGCAGTATGAGGTGTCTTAAGAGAGACTGGGAGCTGAGGGGATTTGGACATGTGGAATCATGTGGGGGATAGAAGGTTCTAGGAGCCAAGCTAATTGATTTACCTACTCAGGTAGGCGTGCCTTCAAGGCCAGTGTGGAGAAGTAAGTCATAGACACAAAGTTCCTGGTCATCTGAGGCCTCATGTTTCTGTCTTGTGGTTTCCTTGATTCTACCACAGCTTCTGTGAAGCTTAAATGACTGAGGCCAGTCCCATCCCTCACCTCCCCGGCTCCCTTCCCCCAGGAGATCTTCTGCCTCCTCTTATCCAGAAGGCTCTGTCTACAGGGTGTGTGTGCGGTACCCACGACCAGCCTCTGCCTACTCAGGAGGCAGCTCCTAGACAGAACAGTAGGTGCCCAGAGACCACACCTGGTACCTCACTTGAATGCAGGGTTGAATCAACCAAGGGAGGGTGCCCTGCCCCCTCCCCCATTTTTAAATCCATTGGAGATACGTTGAGTAGAATAAGTACACTGAAGTGTTCAGGATGGATTAGGGGGAGGGACATGTAAGCTGAGAGGTCCCTGACGGGCTGCAGGGCTTCAGGCAACTCACTGCCTCTTCTGGTTTCCCGTTTCCTGGTTGGTAAATGAGGCGGTAGGCTCCTGTCATCTCTGCTCTTCTGGAAACTCGGACCCTTAAATGATCACTAGTGGAGCCAGTGAGCCCTCCCGTTGCACCACCTCAGAAAGATAACTGGCATTATAACTGGGCTGGGCTGTCCACGCAAACCGGAAGCAACCGGCCGGAGGCGGCTGGAGTTGGGGGTGGGTGCAGAGTGGCACCGAGGGTGCCGGGACTCGGTTCCAGAATCACTCCATGATGAATACAACCTAATTAAGCCAAATAATTGATTCCAAGTCCTGTTTCTTTGAAAACCCTGACTCACTAGTCCAGACTACAAAAGAAAGAAAGATAAAGTGGAATCAAGCCCTTGAAAATGAATATTTGATGAGACAGTGAAGGGAAAGTAACAGTATATGTAAAACGAAAAGAGAATACATTGATTCCTATCCTTTGGGCTTACTTTTTTCTTGACCTCACACACCAAGCTCCCGAGACTGCCCCTCCCCCACTCATTATCCTACCATTTTCCGCTCAGCTGATCAGTTCTCTGTATGAAGAAGCTGAAAATGACATTCATCTTGGCAACTTAGGATTTCACCTACACTTTTAGCACCCACAGTTTGAGAATCTTTAACAAAAATGCATCTAAAAGCCTACCAGGTAGATATGAAGTAAACCCTCCTTGGGCTCACGTGATGCATCGTACTTGAACGTTTATCCCTCTCAGTCATCCTTAGAGCTCCCAGCTCGCCTCCTTGGTTCTGTGCTAGACACTGAGCAAGAACCTTGCCCCTGGAACCTGTTTCTCCCATTTGTATAGTACATAAAGAAATCTTATTCTCCAGCTCCCGGGCAGATAAATGGCATCGTCTCTGTAAAGCGCTCTCTATTTATATTGTACCTTTCTTAGAAGAGTTTCAAGCGCTGTGATCGTTCCTTTTTTATTAATGAGAACAAGAGGGCACCATACTTGCTCGCTTGTTTGGGGTTTTAAAATAAGGTTGAGGGGAACAAACTAACTGAAAAGGTATTTTTCCCTGCTGGGATGTTTTCCTGAGTAGAAATTGATTAAGCCACAGCGAGCATCCTTCTCTGGCGGGGGCTATGGCCCTCTTCTCTCTGAGCACTCCTGCCCGGTGCTGCGTATCATTGATTTCACCACACACAGAGCCCGGGTTGACCAGCAGCCTTCTCCAAGGCATTTTTATCATGGAGCACCAAGTTTAGATCAGCTTCCGGAGATTTTTAGATCTGTTGGAACGTGACCCATTTCAGAACAATAAAAGGGCTTACTGGAACACAGCCGCCCTGTGTGCCAGGGTCAGTTCTTTGCTATTTCAGAGCCGCCATGATAAGCCTGCTAGAACCATTCACTTTCCCATCGTCCACGGACCCCATCTCCCTCCTCTGTTTATCTTCATAGAAAAAATCAGGGGCTGGCAGGGGAGCGAGTGTGCCTTCTTCATTTGTCCCAGATTAACAATTACGCTCCGTGTGACTTCTCTTTGGGCTATTACATAGAGAAAAAAAGGTACTCTGTGTAGCCACTTCGTTTTTCTCCTCTGAACTGGCCTACCAATCAGATTGTTTAGGTGGCATGCTTCCCCAGGGGAGAAGCCGGCAATTACAATGTACCTTGCACCGACATCAAAAGTCCTGGCAGAAAAGAGTACAATTCCTAAAGTAAAGGTGTGTCGAATGCAAGCATTAGTAATCATCTCGTGTCACCTTCTGGTTAGGAAACACTTGAGTCAGAGGTCACAGCGGGCTCAACAACCAGGCATTCATGTATTTAAAATATTTCACCAGGGAAACCCTCGGTTGTGATTTCATTCACGTGGATGCTGCAAGCAGAGAGACTACCACCTGGAGTTAGGAGTAAGTACCCGGTATGGACCCAAAGAGGTTAGGTTTCTTCTCACAAGTCGCATCTCCTTCCCCTGGTGTGGCCAGATGCTAAGGCGGTGGCGGAACGGAGCAGAAAGAACGCTGAGCTGGGAATGAGGAGACCTGGTTTCACATCCTGGCTCTGCCCTTGACTAGCTGTGTCTTGACTTCTCTGTGTCTTGATTCTGTTATCCGCAAGGATGAGATTCCGGACTGGATGACCCCCTGGGCCTGCCTCCAGGTCCGGCATGCTAAGCTCACTCAGATCTAGGACACGTGGCAGTGGTCATCAGTACCGGACTGTCCGGTGTTTGGCTAGTCATGAAGATCTGCTGGTTAGCCAGCACAGGGAGCACTAAGTGACCAAGTCCAGGGAAGGTGGCAGGGGCTTTCCGTAGAATTGGGAGCATGGAGGTTCTCCACTGGTCTGGGTCTCTCCTCAGCACGGTGGGTTTCCAGTAGGAAATGCTGGCTGGCAAATGGTCTGCTCCTCAGGCGGCTCAGCTCTATCTAGAAATGGCTGTGCTGTGGGGAGAACTGCATCCTTCCCCAGCCCGCCCCCCGTTCATGCATAAATGCACAGCATAGCTTCTACTCGGCCCATCATTCCATGATGGAGACCCCCAAAGTTCGGGGGAAGTGGAAGGGCTGTACTTCAGTGCCGAAGGGCCATCTCGACCCCCTCCCTCCCTGACTCTCTGGAGCACTGTCCCACGGGCACCTGGGAGAGGTCTGGGTCTTCCCAGCTCACAAGAAAGATGGAATGAGCAGTGGACACTGCCTCACTTTGAAGTTACACAGCCGCAAGACAGGTCAACAATATGCCCGGGGTCAGATCTTTGCCCAGAATGCATTGCTCCAGAATGACTGGCTTTTCAATTGAAGGAAGGGTCGAATGGCTCAGGCGCGGGTCCATTCATCCTCAGCCCTCTCCTTCACTCCATTACGCCTCATTACATCACCGACTTTGACAGCAGGGGCAGGGTGGGGCTGAGAAGGGGCAACCTGTGATATGGGAGAAGGAAGGGGATGCCCCAGAAAGGGGAACGGGCTGCCCCCCTCACACTGCCACCTCCTCACAAGGTGGGTGCGAATGCCCATAGGAAGCATTAAGCCTAAGAAAGAGAGCACAGAGCTAAAGCAATATCAGGTTTGTAGCTGTGCTAACAGCCCCCAGACAAATTGCTAATAATTCATGATCACGGGTTCTTGGCAATAAGGGCATACTCTGTAGACTGCCTCTTTTGCTGCTAACATAATCTGATTTTCAGTGTGAGAAATGGCTGAAGCACTCAGAAATGGCCCAGTCATAGCACCTCATTAACACACACGCACACACACGCACGCATGCACACACACACACACACACACACTGCACAGTGGAGAAAGCTTTAATTATCTCTGCAGTAGGTCTTTTCTAAAAATCAGGTATTCCAAACTAGAAGCCCTACAGCTCTTTTCCTTCTGTTTTTGCATGGCTGACAGCAAAATTCCAGAAAGCTTATGAAAAGCCGGGAAAGGTGAATTCAGTGCATGGGCCAGAGAAGTTTTGAAAGTTGAAATGCAAACCCCCTTGGCGATCAATAACCAGCCTTCTCCCCTCTCCGCAGTGGCAGGGCCGGGCTGCCAGCTTTGACAGTGAGAGCTCCTGCCCGTCCCCGAAACCACCTCCCACACCATGAGCTGCGCGGCCGGGCGACACCGAGGGGACTCCGCGACGTTCTTTTTTGCACTTGTTCAACTGTCCAAACACAGTGTTACGCAGGAGCAGCGGCAGCGGTAGCACGAGTCTTAACCGCTCCTGTGTAGGTCAAGGCCAAGACATTTGTCGAGCGGCTGGACCTGTCTTAGTCGTTTTTGTCTCCCAAGGTGATGTTTTCTGTGGTTTTCACTTTTTATGGATCTGCTGCCAAGAAAAGAAGGGGGAAATAGTAGGAAAGAAAGAAGAGTGGAGAGCCCAGAGGTTGGTTCATATAAAATACAATGTAAAATAGTCGCCTTTTCGGGGGAGGTGGTTTGAGTTCCTGAAGTTTTGTGTCTCCACCAAGCTCCACAACCCTGGAGACGAAGGAAGCAGACTGGAAGAATGGCTGCTTCTGCAGTGGCCCGCCGAAGGGTGCAGATCGGGCCACGAGCCTTTACGAGGCGAGTTATGACCCTTGGAAGCTCTTTGCTGATGCGACACAGACCGAGATGAAGACTCCTGGTCCTGCGCTGAAATCACTGGGGCTCCAAGGTGTCTGTGCACCTTCCGCTGGTTGTGAGGGCTCCTTCCCCCACTTCCTTGTTGACTTTCCTCATGCATTGAATGAATGTCTTGATTCCTCATGGGAACTTAGCCACTTTCTTTAGGAAGGATTCTGCCGACACTAAACATGCCCTATGTTTTCTGGCACACCACAGTTAATGACCGCAGTTGTTTGAAAACAGATCTTTGTTCTCAGAAATAACCTTCATGGTAAAGAAAAGAAGGCACCCAGGTTCCAGAATGACTTCTGTGTTATGCATAGCTTTAAAATGCCATGAAGTATCAAGCAACTGTTTCAAATGCCTCAGTAGATCAGAGAAGAACCTGGATAAAATGTTCTTTGGAAAATGGGGAGTTTTAATCCAAGTCAGAGCTGGAATCCATTTTTCTCTGAAGAGAATCTTCTTGATTGAAACAAAGTCAACTTAAGAGTATTTCAGCGCCCTCCACCCCCTCTTGACTCTGGGACAATGTTCATCTTCAACTTTAGTTCTATAAATTACTAAGTACTTCAGTGTTTGTTTCAGTGGTAGTGAAGGTTTCGGTTTTTTTCTCCTTTAGACCTCTACTTTAGGCCAAATTCAGTTTAGGAAAAAAAAAATGTTTCAAGTGTTCTGCATTGTCATAGTACGTTTTTGTTGAGTTACTAGTGGCCTTCCCACCAACCCCCTATAACTCAAGTTGGTTTGCTTAATCTCAGTCTGTATAGCCCTGGTAAATTCCTGGAGGTGAGTTGCCACTGTATCTTGTGAATACACAATGCCAACTTCCAGAGTCGTGTGTGTGTGACTTTCAAGAGGCAAGTCTGCTGAAGAGCCCCTTCTGCCATTGGGAAGGTCAAGAACGGAAAAGCTACTCACACACCTTGTGTCTTATTCTTTGTATATGTCACGTGCTTTAGGAGCAGAAACTCAATAAAGTAACCCTCACTTTAAGCCAAGTTTTCAGGTTTCTCTGCTGATATGACTTTGGGCAGTGTCTTCTACCCAGAGTTCAGACTAGACATGAGGATGACCAGGATATTGTGGCCAGAGAAGTTTTCAGCTCATAAAAGTAAAGGCAGATAAACCCAAACTCTACTCTGTACTGAGCCTTAGGCTAGGAGCTAATGTGAGTCATTGTATAAAGATAAGCTTTCTCCCCAAATGTCTTGTGATTGATAGGCCATCCTGGTCGGGCAGTACTGTGGCTGGATGTTCTTTCCAGAAGGAGAAAAAACCTCATGTCATGACAAAAAAGGACAAAAAAACCTCTTGTCATGACAAGACTTCCAACAGGCCATAAACTTTCTTCTGCCTCTTGACTCTAGACTGATTCCATAAAGAGGGCCATCTCAGTCACTGGGCAGATGCTGTGGGTCCTGCAACTAGGAAGGGGACAGCTGAGTTTCCTGGGTCACAGCCCAGAAATTAGTGTGAGAGGATCCTTCCAGAAGTGAGCTCAAAACACATGTCCAGCTGCCATCCTCATAACCCTTAGGCACATGAGAATGACCACTGGACCCTTTCGGAGGAGGGAGTGTGATCGGTGTGAAGGGTGGGATAGTGACTGCCTTCAGACATTCCTTTTATGTCCAAGCAGCTGACCCACACAAGCGAAACTCCCCGTGGTGTTGGGAGATGGTTTCCTGAGCAGATTGCGGTCTGCCCCCCACCACCGACCCAGTTGCCACTTCCACTGTCGCAGCCTTGGTAAGTTTCTACAGCCTGGAAAGCCCAGGCTAGGGAGGCTCTCAGCAGCAGGAGCCTCACCCCCCAAGCATCTTCTGGGGAGACTAGTCCTCAACCCACAGCATGAATGAACCTGAATGTCTGCCAACGTCATTATCTAGCCCAATACCTCTTTCTCGCGGATGAGAATAAAATGAATTACAAGTTTCAGAACAAAATGAAATACAAAGTTGATTCATTTGTTAGCTTCTCTGCCCGGAGAAACCTCTTTCCTGTCTTGGCGTTTTGAGCTTTGCTCAAGTCATGATAATCAGGGCCTTTTGCATATAGAAGTGTTTTGTTTTTGTTTTTGTTTTTGTTTTAAAGCAAAGTTCCCTTCTTTGTTTAGCAGTGTTTCTGGGCTAAAAGATGCCTCTCCCCCTTCCTTCACATATTCAGGATGTTAACTAATTGCATCGTCATTTAAAAAATTATGTTGTTCATTACTGCTTCGTGTCTCCCCTCCCCTGTCACAGCCTGGAGTTTTTATTCAATTAAATATCCGTCTCTCCCCCATTTCTCTGTCATTGTATGTTCCTGAGGTTTAGTCGTCTGCATGCACACAGGACACTGCAGAGCTTTTTTACCTTTAAGCTTTGTTTCACAGAGATAACCACTTCCCTTCCGTCTGAGGTACAGCGGTAGGGCTTGTTTGGTTTTTGTTCCGCCCAAGGAATCCCTGCATACCCCAAGAGCCTGGAATACACCTGCGTTTTGTCAGGCTGATGGCTCCCAGAGCATTTGGTGCACGGGGCTGTGCTGTCTCCTGAGCTGTTCGACTCCACAAGCGAACGGCCCCTCCAGATGCCCAGGGAAGCGGGTTGCACGCTCGAACCTGGAAAGTGCCATGCTTTCGCCCACCCAGAGAGGAATCCTGCTAACTCTCATGAAACACCACTTGGCTGAATGAGGAGAAAAATCCTACTGCAGGCTGGAAATTTTTAAAAGAACATTCTGAATTAATAGAATATCCTCTCCACTCACCCCTAGCTTTTAATTAATTTAGGAAGCAGCCCACAGAGAGGAGAGTGGAAGGTACTGTCCTTTCCTGCGCATCCGCATCTGAATTACTGGCGCTCCGCAGTGAGATGCCACCAAGGGAGCCGAACTGCTGAGAGAAGCACTCTGCTTCCTAAACGCACAGCCTCCCCTGGCTTATGCCTCCCGTCAGGTCACCTGTCAGCCGCGGGGTTCGGTGATGTGTAGCTTGGCTCGTATCTAGAGCAGATCAAGCGATGGGGTAAATGTGTCTGGCTGGCCGGGCTGGGTTATGCAGCCATAGCATCCTTCAGACCTCAGTGGCTGGAAACAACAAAGGCTTACTTCTCATTCGTGTTCCATGCCCGTCACAGGTCAGCAAGGGGTTGGGGGGAATGTTCTGCTCATCGGAGGTATTCAGGGGAACCTGGGACACCAGAGCAGCCAACATCTCAAACATTGCCTGAGGGAAAAGAGCTCTCTGAAGGCTCTCCTATTGGCCTCAACACTCTGGCCCAGAGGTGACACATGTCCCTTTCCTTCACGGTTCATTGCCCAGAACTATTCATGTGGCCACCCAAATTACAGGTGTTCAAGTGCCGAGGGGATGAAGACCTGGAAATAATCGGTGTGCACTCAGGATGACCACAGTGAGGTTAGCAGACCCGTGGGGGGGTGACAGCTACTGAATATCTGATTCAGAGAAACTCATAAAGAGAAGATATAGTCTATTGGTTGTCAAATGACATCAAGGACTATATTGAGCCACATAACTGTGCTAGCCTCAGACTGGAATCTTGCCCACAAACAGCTCCAGTCTAGTAAACTGGCAATGTAAGTAACTATAGTCCAAGGTAGAAAGTGGTGTGTGCGGGACAGGAGGTGTGGACTCCGTTTTGTTTTTGTTTTTGTTTTTTATGTCCATTCACTTTTGAGTCAGAGAGAGAGACAGAGAGAGAGAGCATGGGAGGGGCAGAGAGAGAGGGAGACACAGACTCCGAGGCAGCTCCAGGCTCTGAGCTGTCAGCACAGAGCCTGATGCGGGGCTTGAACCCACGGACTGTGAGATCATGCCCCAAGCCGAAGTCGACGCTTAACTGACTGAGCCACCCAGGCGCCCCGAGAGGCGTGGACTTCTGTGGCCACAGAAGAATATCATAGCTCGGCAGAACGACAGCTTCGAGAAGGAAGGGGCGTCTGATCTAGAGCTTTAAAGGATGGGTAGGATTTGGGGATGTGGAGGTTGTGAGGGGGGAGCACATTCCAGGCTGAGGGGTCCATACTGGTGAAGGCCCGGAGCTGAGGAATCCCCAGGGCCACCAAGCACCTGAATCTGGGGGAGACAAGGAACCCCTGAGCACAGCCGCCACCTTGCTGGTGCTGGTCAGCCCCAGCCAGACGCTGGACGCCTGCCCGGGGAGGCTTCCCTTCCCCTACTCTGAGCCCTGCACCACCAGGCTCTAGACCTGGCCCCTGCCTCGTTCCTGCCAGCTGCCTCCACAAAGTGGGCTCACTGCCCTCCTTCCTCCACTGCCGGCTTGGCCTCCGCTCTCAGACGGGCTGATCACCCAGAACTGCAAGATTTGCCTGATTTCAAGAATCTGTCTAGCTGCCACACCTCATCCCCTCGCCCAGCCTCATCGCCTCAGGCTGTTTTGCAGCTACAGGTCACTCAGGACTTCAGGATTTGTCCCGTGTCCCACCCCTCTTTGCAGTGAGCCCCATCCAGATGTCTGATGCCCTGGTGCAGGGCATGGGACTGGCCTCCCCCAACTTTCCTCTGGCTGGTTCACAGCAGCACCACCGGCAAGGCTGTGGCAAGCCCACAAGCAGAGCCTGGAGGCAAAGGGGCTTCCAGGCAGTTGCAGCCATCCACCCAAGAGGGGGCGAAGGGCCAAGCTAGGCCTAGGCCACACACAGGGAGACAGGGGCACCTGTATGGGACATGGGGAACACGGATGGACAGCATGGCAGGGCGGACAGCTGAGCAGATCTGGAAGGCAGGGAGACAAAAAGGGCATTCAAGAGTGTTGAAGGCTTTCACACTTGAGGCACCAGAAAAATGATGGAGGCTTCCATAGAAACTGGAAACTCTGCAGAACAAGGGAAAACGATAAGTCTGGTTTGGCCAGCTGAATTTGAGATGCAGGAGGGATGTGCAGCCGACAGCCGTAGTAGGAGATGCGGCTTGGCAGAGAGGTCGGGCGTGAGATGTTAATTTATAGAAAGCTTACACACCCAAATGAGATGTGGACAGGAGGCTGACACGGCCACGTGGGTACAAGCAGACAAGGAGAGTCTCAGAGAGGGCTTCTTCGGGAACCATCAAGATTTAGAGGTCAAGGAAAAAGAAAGCGATGTGAATAATAACGGAGGTGTGCCCAAGCAAAGCTGATCGATGAGGCTGCGGGTGAACAAAAACAGATCAATCAAGGCCTCATAAAACGATTCTTCACAAGTTAATCCAAAGCGCTTGAACCTAACTTGATTCGCAAGTCTATTTTCACCCACATTCGCAGGGACCCGCCTCTTTTTTTCCCCTTGCCTGTGCTTGCCTTTTGTGTGTGTGCGTGCATGGTAAAATACATTTACCTTCAGTTTACCCTTTCAGCCCTTTTTAAGCGTACGATTCAGCGGCTTTAATTATGTTCGCACTGTTGTGCAAGCATCACCACCAGCCATCCACAGAACTTTGTCCATCCTGCAAAGCTGAAGCTCTGTGCCCATTAAACAGAGCTCCCCATCCCAACCTCCCCCAGCCCCTGGCCACGCCCATTCTACTTCGTGTCTCCATGAACTTCACCACTCTAGGTAGCTCGTATAAGTAGAATCGTGTCATACTTGTCCTTTGGTGCCTGGCTTATTTCACTTAGCAGAGTATCCTCAAGGTTCATCCATGTTGTAATATGTGTCAAGAATTTCCTTCCTTTTTAAAGCTGAATAATATTCTATTGTATGGATATACCCCACTTGGTTTTTCCATTGATCTGTCAGTGAACATTTGGGTTGCTTCCACCTTTTGGCTTTTGTGAATAATGCTGCCGTGAACATGGGTGTACAAACATCTCTTCCTGTGTCTGCTTCCAATTCTCTGGGGTATATATCTGGAGTGGAATTGTTGGACCATGTAGTAATTCTATTTTTAATATGTTGGGGAACTGCCTTACCCTTTTTCATAGTGGCTGCACCATGTTACATTCCCATAGGCAGTGCACAAAGGTTCCAATTTCTCTCCATTCTCACCAACACTTGTTATATTTTTTTTTATGTATTTTTGATGGTAGGCATCCTAATGGGTGTGAAGTGGTATCTAATTGTGATTCTGATTTGTTATTTTCATAATGATTAGCGATGTTACGTATCTTTTCATGTGTTTGTTTGCCATTTGTATATATTCTTTGCACAATGTCTATTCAAGTCCTTTGCTTGTTTTTTTATTTTATTTTATTAAGCTTTAAATTTTAATTCCAGTATAGTTAACACACAGTGCTATATTCGTTCCAGGCGCACAATATAGTGATTCAATGCGCATTTCTGAATTTGTTTTGTTGTTGTTCTTAGGATTCTTCTATACTCAAGGTATTAATCTCTTGTCAGATTTATGATTTACCAATACAGTATTGTCTCCCATTCTGTGGGTTGCTGTTGATGAGGTCCTATGATGCACAAAAGTTTTAAAATTTGAAGTTGTCCAATTTGTCTATTTTTTCTTTTGTTGCCTGTGCTTATGGTGTCATATCCAAGAAATCATTGCCAGATCCGATCCCATGATGCTTTCCCCCTATATTTTCTTCTAAGAGTTTTATAAGGTTTAGCTCTTATACTTGGGTCTTCAATCCATTTTGAGTTAATTTTTGTAGAGGTTGTAAGATTAGAGTCCAACTTCATTCTCTTGCACATGGATATCCAGTTTTTTCACATCATTTGTTGCAAAGACTGTCTTTTCGACATTGAATGACCTTGGCACCCTTGTAGAAAATCATTTGACCATATATGTGAGGGTTTATTTCTGGGCTCTCTATTCTGTTTCATTGGCCTATATGTGTGCCTTTATGCTAGTACCACATTAATTTGATTACTTAGAGCTTTGTGGGAAGTCTTGAAGTAGGCAGTGTGAATCTTCCAATTTTGTTCTTTTCCAAAATTGTTTTGGCTACTCAAGGTGCCTTGAGATTCCATATGAATTTTAGCATGAATCTATTTCTACAAAAAATGGGATTTAAAAAAAAAAGCTTGTTTTGTGTGTGTGTGAGAGAGAGAGAGAGAGAGTGCATGAGCAGGGGAGGGGTAGAGACAGAGAGGGAGAAAGAGACTCCCAAGCAGGCTCCATGCTGACAGTGCAGAGCTCGAACCCACGAGCCGAGAGATCATGACCTGAGTCCAAATCAAGAGTCAGACACTTAACTGACTGAGCCACCCAGATGCCCCCCAAAATGGAATTTTGATAGGGCTTGCACTGAATCAATACATACCTTTAGGTAGTATTAACAGGGATCCAACTTTTGAGGGCACTGTAAAGTGTCCTATAGGAGTCACCT